TAATAATGCACGAAGAACAGCTACCAACACAGGCACAAGAAAAGATCTGAGGTGAAAACAAGAGGTCGCCCTGGAAAAACAGACTGACGACATTTAAGAGCTTCTACATCCACACGGATTGATTGATTGATTGATTTGATTCAAGAACCGACATAACAGCACCCGGGACATTCCCATATGCGCTCCGTCTCCATCTTCAGCAGCCAGCGAAGATTTCCGATACTAATGGTGCCAGTAGCTTTCTGATTAAATGACCGTCTTGCCTTTCCTCTGAGCCTTGAGCTTCTGCCAGAACCTCTCGTCACCCCCAACTGCATCAATCTCACCAAACTGTGGTGCTCCATCTGCTCCTCCGCATTGTACACGCTCTCCCACAAGGCACTAACCACGTCTGCCCTATCATGTAGCAGTATTCCACCAAGTTGTGCAGAGCCAGCCAGTCTGTCCTCCTGTTCATTTCCCAACACACCGGCGTGACCCGGTGAAAAAATCCAGACAATACTCCCCACCTCGTGTCCTCCGCAGCGAAGCATGCCACTTTGCAAGAAGCATACCTGTTCTGATCTTCCTCAGCATGCTTTCTGAATCAATTACAATTACAATGTGTGTGTGTGTGTGTGTCGTGTTCTCTAGCCAGCGGAAAGCTGCAGTGACCGTCTCCACCTCCATTCCTAAGCTGGATGTTGTGGTATTATATGCTAAGCTCTGCTGCACCAAACGTCGAACATTAACTTTTGTCAAAAAGCCCCAAGCACTTCTTTTGCCTCTTGACACTGAACCGTCTGTGTAAATGATCAAATCCTCTGAGCGAGCATAATCTTGAATTATTTGCTGAAGTTCCTCCTCTGTGGCACCTGCTAGCCAGTCTCTGCATTCCCGGCTCAGCGTGATTATGACTCTACACAAGTCTGACTGCTCAGGTGGCACTTTGACCAACTCCTCTCCTCGCCTAATGTTCTCAAGGATGCAAACCTGCCTGATTGTGTCTTCTGCCTGAGCCATACATGACCTCCCTCTTATCAGCCGCTGACCCTTAACTGCACCCAGAGCTTTATGCAGAGGGTGGTCTGTGTCTGCAGCTACCCTGAGATATGACTTCGCCTGTATCATCTAGTGCCTACCTGCAACCGTCGGCAAACCAAGGATGTATCGCATACACACCACTGGGGTGTCTCTGGTGCAACCCAGAATGACGCTCATAGCCGCGTTCTGTATGCGCTCTAGTTTGTCCATCTGACTCTTTAAGACGGTAAGCAGTCCCAGGCCATAATCCACCACTGACAGGATCAGGTGAAAAGCATTCTCTGCTCTATGTCAATTGCAGCCATAGTCTTAAGTGCACTAAGTCCTTTTTGGCATCTCGTCACAACACTCTCGACATGGTCCTTAAATGACATACTCATGTCAAATGTAATTCCCAGATACTTCAGTTTGCTCTCTCTGTTGACGTCTCTACCATCTATCGTGAGACTTGGGACATTAGTTTTAACGATTCTGTTGTCCAGAGAACACCACAAAACAGACGCCTTTTCCGGGTGGACGACAACCTTCATTTCTGTACACCACTCAGTCACTTTGTCAACTGTCGCTTTTAGCTCACGGGCTGTTTGCTCCCTTTCTTCCCCCTGCCTATATGCAAGTATATCATCCGCAAAAGTCAGTATCCTTCCAACTCCTGGTGCTTCTAGGCTTGCAATCTTGCTCGTATACACGTTGAAGAGCACAGGCGAGATGGCGGATCCCTGTGGCAGTCCTGGGGCTAAAGTGCATGGTGCAGATGTCCATGAGCCCAGTCGGAGAGCAACCTGACGTGAATACAGGACAGCTGCAACCCGATTCACCAGCCATGAATTGACCTCCTTCTTCCTCACTGCAGTCATTAAGATGTCGTATCTCACTCTGTTATAAGCATCCTCGAGATCCAGTCCTATCGCCATAGTTTCCTGTCCGTTCTGGAAATCTTCATAGACGTCAAAAGCAAAAGTGGCCGCATTTACCCAAGTGTCCTTTACTGGCCTGTAACTTCCCAGACCTCTTGGGAGAAGCTTCCTCCTTTCCAAAAATTCTTGTAACATTAGAGCAACTATCTTCTCCAAGACCTTCCCAAATGTGTTTTGTAAGGTGATGATTCTAAAGCCACTAAGCTTAGAATGATCTTTAAAAGGTTTTGGTAGTGGGATTAGATAGCCGTGCACCCAGTCTTGCGGTACTGATGCTGTCTTAATACTCTGGTTAAAACAGTCGGGGATCTCCGCCAGGTCTACATCGCTCAAAGCCTTCATATGACCATACCTGACACCATCAGGCCCTGGTGCAGTGTCTTTTGCTTTTTTCAAAATCTGTTTGATATCTTCCACTTGTATCATGTCTTCATAATGCATATTTTTCAAGGTACCAGCTAACTCCTTTCTAACTGCATCTATGATGACTACATCATTATGATCTGTCTGAGCTATAAACCTATGGAGAAAAGCCTCCCCTTTCTCCTTGTCTGTTGATCTCTACAAATTGTTGCGACTGTCATAGGCTGATCTTTTCTTTGCATGTGCCTTTGCAGTTTCCAGAATTTCCCCAATGTTTTATCGTCTCCCATGTCATTCACAAAAGTTTCCCACTTTGCTCTTGTGGCCTCTGCCGCACAGCGCTTGAAAACCTCCACCTTATCTCTTTTCACTTTCTCCACCATCTCCACTTCCTCTCGTGAGCTTGAGGGTGTCTGTCGTACTTTCTTTAGCTGCTTCACTGCGGCTCTCTTTGCCTTCCATGCCTGTTCTACTTCTGGAGTCCACCATTGGGGCTGCAGAAAATTAGTTCTGGCAGTTCTTTTGCATGCTCCCTGTCTGAGGCGTCCAAGTAGGTTGTTGGTCCACTTATACTGGAAGGTCTTGCGTGCTCTCCCAACCTTAACCTTACTGTGTTTAGAAATCAAGACTGAACATGGTAGGTGATCACTCCCATGGTCATTCAGGACAGTCCATTTAACATCTAAAACCGACGACTGAGAGACAAATGTCAAGTCAATGGCTGTGTGTGCATCTCCAGGCCTCATTGCCATTCTAGTCGGCCTCCCATCATCGGTTTTCTCCACTGCTGTCCCATTCTCTGTTCCTCGCGTTGAAATCCCCACATATGAGTAACCTATCACCTGGTAACTCCTCCAATTCCTTGAGCCAGCTCCACACCGATTAACAATAGCCAGTGCTGCCCACCGAGCAATGGATCGCAAATTGTTCCCTCCCAAAGCCACCTTAGGGCAGAACTAGAAATTGATAAAAATGATGATACCCTGATTTGTCCATTTGTTCCTCTAGACGAAGCCTAACAGCAGAAGTGGAAATTGATGATGATAATGATTTTTTTTTTCTAGCTAAAATAATTTCAGGGAAATCCCTGTTTGGTGAATGCACCATGAGGAACCGTCGTAACAATGCAATAGGAAGTCAGAGACAACATCGAAACTGTGCCATAAAAAACTAGACACTGGTAGCTTTTGACTTCCTTGTAATCACAACACCATTATTGTAAATTAAGTATTTACTGTTAACGTGATTACAGCAGAACAGTAAAGTCGTATTTGCCTCCTCGCAATAGTCCTTTTATATCCTTTTATAGTTAGAGTGTCTGCTTTGGGATTAGCTCAGGTAGAAACTGACATGGTAACAGTAGAAAAGAAATTACGGCTCTTCTTACTTTAAACTTACCCCTAAAATGGCGGTCATAATATGATGCCACATTCTGGCCATAAAATATCCAAAAATTTCCGAACGACGATGTTCACGTATATCTAAAATACGAACTTTCTGCCAAGGCACAAATCTCGGCAAAACTAGGATTACTTGACAATCAATATCAACATTGCACACTGTAGTAGTAGCAGACGATAAATACCGACCGTTGACAACAATTTCGAGCGTTTCTGCAGACGATACTAGCAGACCATATTAGCGACCGTTGACCACTTTCGAGACATTACAGACGATGAAAGCCGATTAGCAATACTGTGTTCTTCCGATTGGAGGATTTAGCAGCAGTAGATGTCAGACTTGTCGGCATGCGCCAAACGCGATTAAACTTATCGCCGAGTGTATCACCCGCGCCGCTACACGCGGCACGGATGGGAAGCTAAATTAGGTGCCTGGGACTCACAAGTAAGTAATTGGAGGAAGTTGCAGGAGATGCGGTAGCTGCTGCTCGTGAGTCCCAGCCATCGAGTTTAGTATGGAAACTGTCAGCGGTGAGGCACACTCGCAGAAGCAGGTCCGCAAGTAACGTATCGCCGAGACCCTGTTAGAGCATTTGTTTCGTTATGCGGAGCCGGCACATATCTTTTTAATAGAACTGAGCCCCATTCGGATATTTTTAGATATTATATGGCCAGAAATTGGCCAATTTAGCTCTATTTCAGAGGGCATCATAACACGGCCGCCATTTTGGGGGTAAGTTCAAAGGAGAGCCGAATTTACTATAAACGCTCTGTCCTCTTCTTCAGCAGCCAGTGTAGTTCTAAATTGTGCGGTAACCAACATAGGACTGGCACTATTAACCGCGCGACGTTGATGAATATGTTGAGAGGTGAATCTGAGCGCCCATGGATGTGTCCGGAGTGCTGTGAAGATAATCTAACTTATAACGTTGAAACTATGTACTACATGCGTTGTTTTTGTCAGCACTATATTAATGTATGCAATTTTTAAACATTTTTCTACGCTATTTGCATCTGATTTGATTAAATGAATCAGGCAAACAATTTCAGAAATCAGCTTATTCTGCGTTCATCCGAAGATGCAAATACGTTGTTTTCCTTTTACAACATGGTGCGGTATTAGCGCATTTTGGCCGACACATCCGAATTCTGCAGGCACTTGAAATCTTTTGTTTGTGACTACCAAAATTGACCACAGGGAAAACATTGCTTTTAAAAGTGTATTGTAATTTGACACCAGTTCTTGAATTCTCCCAGCAGGTCTGCAGCTCGGAGCCGTTAATCTAGAAGCTGGACCATGCAAACGGTACACGTGATGACTGGGCTACTGCTCTTCTTTGATTTGCGGCTTTGTTCACAAGAAACAGGTAGGCTCTTTGCTGTCTTTGTTATAACTATATCTGGCCATCTCCTTGTGAGATGCAATTTTTCGTCATTTGAAGCCCTTGCCAGGGACCGCAATATAGCCCGGCCATAAATATGGTCTAATGGCTGAAGGCAGTCTCTGGGACCTCACCACAGTGATCCTCATCCACATGCTGGCACTTTGTGTCATCGGGTGTTTATCGCTTGTGTGATGTCCTGGTGGGGTAAAAGTAGATAGAAATAGATATATTGTCTTTGTTATATTTCTAGCTGCTGTCTATTATCTTGTTGACCATATCCACGTTATCATCATAATCATGAACATCATCTTCATCATCATCAACTTCATCAGCAGCATCACTATTATCAATATCGACATGGTCGCTGAGATCATCATGACTAGAGCACCCTCATCGCCGACATCATCATGGTGTTGCCACTGAAAATGCTTAGTAAGAGAATACGATGTGTTAACTTTAGTCTAAACATCTTTGGAATATGAATAATGGATAAGTAATGGAAATAACCTCAATTGTGTCCTGTTCATCTCTTGAAATATATAATCATCAACCTGTGCCCTGCCAACTGGCGTATGCGCTCATGCGGCTCTACAGATTACGATCTCTGATTGCCTGGTACATCTTTCTAAATGATATTTCTCTATGCCCTCGTTTCAAGCCATCCAGCATCATCTCTTTTAGTCTGCCTTTGAAATATATGTATGTTAATGTGTTTGTATGTATATATATATGTATATATATCAAATATATATATATATATATATATATATATATATATATATATATATATATATATATATATATATATATATATATATATATATATATAAGAAAAAGAAAAAAAAAGAACAGGAAGAAAAGAAACTCTTAACGTATAAATCCCCTTTCCCGTTGTTGATTTAAATCTTGATCATTTAACTTAGCATATGTGTTCGTTGTAGCCGCATTGTTCGTTAAAGTCGAATTGTTCGTTGTAGCATATGTGTTACCGTGGCATCCGATGTCTCACTGCAACACCTGCATTTACATTATAATCCTTCTCCACTGTAGCACCGGTATGTACGGAAGCCATTTAGACGGCAAGACACTCACCTGTGGATCAGAAGGTCGTGGGTTCAAATCCACACGGTGTAGGTTTTTTCTTTTTCTGATGCAGGCCTTGACTTCCAGGTCCACCCAGGTCACAGATAAAGTCCTGGGAAGTAAACACGGATGATCTATTGATCTGTACAATGTTAGCCCATCCTTATATGCCTGATGTGCCACTGACATGTAAAGAGCCTTTACTTCTTACATTTCATTGCCACTGTGAAATAATGTCCGAACCTTTGGATAGTCTTTGTTTAAGGGCCCATCATTATTGATTTTATGCCGCAACCCCTCCCTCCCCCCCCCCTCTCCACCACCACCCGCCTAGTCGATATGCTTCGACTTATCTTACATTTACATTATAAAGTTAGCCACCTCATTATGTAGCGGCGTCTGTGACTTAAACAGTTGCGAATCTGGCTCGTAATCCAACGTGCCGCGATCGAAACCAATGCTAGCTGCGTGGATTTGTATCGTGGTATGGGACGGTGCAGGTCGACCCAGCTTCAAATGGGTACCAGGATGGCTGTCCTGGGTAAGTAAAGACGGCGGGCGTAATGCTGACCACATTACCCACCGAGTGCCGATTGCTCTGTACAAATATGGGTGCTCTTCTCATATACCCGATACGCTAAGGCATTTTTAAATCTACTTTACTTTACCTCATTATGTAGTGACATGAAACATAACTTGATGCCCAAAATCAGGTTGTGAACAGGGATGGTTCGGATCGCAGTGCCAGTATAAATGTCGATGTACACACAACTACTGTGACAAGGAGGGCCGGTGCAAAAGCGGCGACAGGTGTGATAAGGGCTGGTTCGGACCCGCATGTCAATACGGTAGGTGCTTCATTGCCTTATCTAGGTTTTTCGAAGGACGCACGTATACGGACGAATTTCCCAGGGAGAGACACATAAATCTGCACGACAGCAGGCAGACGACAGACTGTCGAAAGAAAAAAAGGGCACACAGACAGAAGTGCCAGAGCGACTGACAGTTAAACAAACAAACCTACAGGCAGACAGAAAGACAGCAGACAGACAGCAGAAAGTCATCAGACATACAGACAGGCAGATAAAACGAACCAACGAACAAACTGTATTTTCAAAGGGCCACAAACTGTGTGAGCAGGCCCGTCTTACATTCGGCTCTTCCAGAAACTCATCTTTCAGGCCGCACTTGTATTTTGTCAATAAAGCATGTTATGCTCCACATAACAGCAAAAAAAAAAAAATATCCAGAAAAACACAAAAAATATCGTTGACAAATGCATGCACACACACCCTTTATACACATGTACACTCTCACGCATACCCATGTATCCTATAGATGGACAGACAGACACAGAAATGCAGACAGACAGTTAAACACACAAGGGGAGGTGGGTGGGTGGATGGGGAATGGATGGATGAATGGACAGACAGACAGACAGACAGACAAAATAACAGATAGATAGATAGATAGATAGATAGATAGATAGATAGATAGATAGATAGATAGATAGATAGATAGATAGATAGATAGATAGATAGATAGATAGATAGATAGATAGATAGATAGATAGATAGATGGATGGATGGATGGATGGATGGATGGATGGATGGATGGATGGATGGATGGATGGATGGATGGATGGATGGATGGATGGATGGATGGATGGATGGATGGATGGATGGATGGATGGATGGATGGATGGATGGATGGATGGATGGATGGATGGATGGATGGATGGATGGATGGATGGATGGATGGATGGATGGATGGATGGATGGATGGATGGATGGATGGATGGATGGATGGATGGATGGATGGATGGATGGATGGATGGATGGATGGATGGATGGATGGATGGATGGATGGATGGATGGATGGATGGATGGATGGATGGATGGATGGATGGATGGATGGATGGATGGATGGATGGATGGATGGATGGATGGATGGATGGATGGATGGATGGATGGATGGATGGATGGATGGATGGATGGATGGATGGATGGATGGATGGATAGATAGATAGATAGATAGATAGATAGATAGATAGATAGATAGATAGATAGATAGATAGATAGATAGATAGATAGATAGATAGATAGATAGATAGATAGATAGATAGATAGATAGATAGATAGATAGATAGATAGATAGATAGATAGATAGATAGATAGATAGATAGATAGATAGATAGATAGATAGATAGATAGATAGATAAATAGATAGATAAATAGATAAATAGATAGATAAATAGATAAATAGATAAATAGATAGATAGATAGATAGACTAGATTATATTAGATTAATTAGATTAGATTAGCTTAGATTAATTAGATTAGATTAGCTTAGATTAATTAGATTAGATTAGCTTAGATTAATTAGATTAGATTAGCTTAGATTAATTAGATTAGATTAGCTTAGATTAGAATTTGTAGATGTAACTGATTCAGTAAGCATGCTGAGGAAGATCAGAACAGGTATGCTTCGTGCAGGGTGGCATGCTTCCCTGCGGAGGACACGGGTGAGGATTTCTTCACCGGGGTACCCCGGTGTGTTGGGAAATGAAAACGCGGACAGACTGGCTGGCTCTGCACAACTTGGTGAAATACTGATACATGATAAGGCATACGTGGTTATTGCCTTGTGGGAGAGCGTGTACAGTTCGGAGGAGCAGATGCATCACCACAGTCTGATGAGATTGATGCAGCAGGGAGTAACGAGAGGTTCTGGCAGATGCTCTAGGCTTAGAGGAAAGGCAAGACGGACGTTTAATCAGAATGCTACTGGCACCATTAGTATCGGAACTCTTTGCTGGCTGCTGAAGATGGGAACGGAGCGCTTATGGGAATGCCCCCGAGTGCTGTGATGTCGGTTCTTGAATCAAATCAAATCAAATCAATCAAATCAAAATCAGAATTGGTAAATGGATTTAGAAAAGACTTTGATAATTATAGCGTTGAAACACTAAGTTAACCAAGCGTGAAGGCAGAACCAAGCGATTACATATATATATATATATACTAGCTGTACCCGGCCACGCGTTGCTGTGGCGTAATTTGACTACATGGAAAATAGAGAACGTAGAAATGTGTCTTCGCTTCACGCTAGCGATGTACAGAGCAACAGCTAAACCACAGCTAATAAAACTGGTTACAAAAGTGGTTATTTGGTTATCACATGCTAAAGCTGTTTGTATTTTTATAGGAGACGGAAGTAAAGCTACAACTGTACTTGTAAATAACAAAGTAAGTTGTAAAAAATAGAAAAGCAAATGAACACAGGAAAAAACACCATAATTAGGAAATGAACGCCATTGTAAACAGCACAGCTTAAAATTCCAACACAGATGAAATAACTAAATCTAAATGAAATTAAATGAAAATCTATAAAATTTCAGCGTAACCATGCAATCGGAAAGTTTAACAATGCAATCATAAGTATGCGAAATGGTCAAATTTAATTATCAAATGGTTTACCCATTTACTGGGGTTTTTTTTTCAATATTAAGGCAACATGGCTAGTGCTGTCACCACGACAGAGCAGATGAGGATATTATTTTAGTCCGGGGTAAAAAAAAAATTTAACTACTGCGGATTCGAACCCAGGTCTACCGCACTTGAACCCAGTGTTCTAACCATTCGACCAAGCAGCCACTTAATCGGAACAACGAAAAGAGAACACAACTATTAGACATATGTGTCCCTACCACTGTGTCGCGATTAAAACACAATTCAAAACCGCAGGCAATTGTTTTCTCGTAGACAGATACTCCATATATATTAATGAAATAGAAATCGCACGTGTCTAACACGGTTAATGAAGTTAATGTCGCAGTCACTGTCTGCGCCGACGTCGAGATAGTCCTCGATTGCCCCCCCCCCCCCCCCCCCCCCCGATCAAAGGTTGTTTGAAAAAAAAAATAGAAATCGTGTTTAATATGGTTATTGTGGCAAATATAGAGATAGTCTTGTTTGCTGTACCACGACCTACTCTATGTATTAGTATTAGAGAAGGCGTTGGCTGCACGTAACTCGCCGGCGAATGGTAAATACGGCGCATGCGCAATTACTAACGTGGCTATAATTAGAAATCACTAAAGTTATAAATATTAGTTGCGTATATCTTGTCATAAATTGTGGTCACCTATCTCTAACAGTGACAGGTTGAATTTCAAACCACGACGGTTCAAAATCCGGTATCACAACAAACATATCCTGAAAATTTCAGCTAAATCGGTTCAGTAGTTTCCGAGTCTATAGGGGTGAAACAAACACACAAACATTGATTTTTATATATATAGATATATATATATAAAGTTGACACGTAACATCACTAGATGTTGAAAATCAAAAGACTGTGACTTATAATGGGACATAGTAATATAATTACCAGGTGGAAGGCGTATATAGAGGAACTGAATGATGACAAACCAGCTGTAGAACCTGCAGACCAACAATGATGGTCCACCAGTAATGACTGCAGAAGTTGAGGATGCATTACATCATATAAGGAATGAAAAAGCACCCGGGCCAGACAACATCTCACTGGTAAAAGTCGAAGCACTGGGAGATTTTGGAATAGAAATAATAACTCAACTTTAAATGATATTTATAATAATGGGTATATTTGAAATGACCTTTTAAAATCCATATTTATAGCTCGGCCAAAGAAACCAGGCACTTTAAAATGTGAAGACCATCGCACAATAAGTCTAATGAGTCACATGACAGAGATTTTACTGACAATAATTATTAGAAGAATAAGAAACAAAATTAAACCAGAAATCAGCGATGTACAATGTGGATTTGTAAAAGGAAAAGGTACAAACAATGCCATATACATCCTAAAGACATTGTCAGAAAGAGCTATAGAATATTTTTGAAGTCTTTTTACTGTGTAAAGCATAAAGCAGTAATCTAATTGTTGGAAAAATTAAACTTGGATGGAAAAGGTCTACAAATAATAAAGAATATGTATTGGCAGCAAACAGCAGCTATAAAAATTAACAACTGTCTAGGTACATTTCAAAGCATCAAGAGGCCGTACGACAAGGAATTGTACTGTCACCTGATTTGTTTTTACTATGCAGTGAATATATAATGAGATCTTTGATTGATATGCCCGGAATTGTGGTTGGTAAGCACAATATAAACAATTAAATTTATGCTCATGACACAGTCTTGATAGCAACAAGCCAAAAAGAACTACAAGAAAAGATAGACACCTTAGAAACTGAACTGATATATGCTGCAGGAGATCGCTGATTGTGGAGAGGCAAGATGGCGCACTCCAGTATGCAAGGCACCTGATGATGATGATGATGAAATGTTATCAAGATTCTTTGATGAAATAAAATATTGAGATTATACATTTCGTATTGAATTTATTTCACTTTCTTAGCAGAGTAAAAAAAAAAAAAAACACAAGCTTCTAAGATTTAAAATGTAAAGCACTAAGGCTGTAGCAACAACACAAAATCTATATATTACTGCCTTTTTTATACCAGTTCGGTTGTGTAGGCAGGGGGTCTTTGAGCCTGAGGATATACGACCGCATGGTTAGTGCCGTCGCCACGATTGTGCAGGCGAGGATTTATTTTGCCCTCGACATACAAAAATTCCAAGCCGTACCTAGAATAACGCTGTAGCTCCAGCGACTATTCCTATTTTAAAACATACTGAAAGTGTATTTTCTGAAATGTCATATATATTCACACACACACACAGAGATACACACAGACACACACACACATACACAGATATCGATTTAAAAAAAATGCATGTTGATTGAACGTGGTTCCAAAATTAGATCACGTCAACGATATATTTCGTATAACATTATTCATCACTGGATGATGCCACTTGAGCAATATTGGACTTTGGTAATGCATCCTTTTTGTTTACGGGAAAACATTGTAAAGTGCTCGTGTTTGTTTCCAGTGGATGAAGCTTTTGGGACCTCGACGCTCAGGGAGGTGACCGATGGCGATGATGACACCTGCGTCAGTGACCCCGCAACCCGGCGGATCGCCATCTCAGTCGTGCTCATGTTTACCTGGTTGAGAGTTCACTTCAGTACAGACGGTAGGTATCAACCTGTAGCGAGCCTTTTTAAGCTTTGCCCGGACACATCATTATCATGATCACCGCCCTCATCATCATCATGTAGCATGTCCTTTACAGAAAAAGCGCCCCCCATTGCAGCCTGCTTTAAAAGAAACTCCTGTCCTTTGCCTAATGTTCATCACTGTGCGCATTCCTGACCAAGGGGTGGCCTTTGCTTCGTGTCAATCTTTGGCCTCTGCATTTCTGTCCTGGCACTATGCCATTGGCTACTGTTCTTTCCAATCCACCGTGATGTCTGTTTTCTCCAAAATAGTTCAGTTTCCAAGACAAGATGCAGTTTGCAAGCCACGTGTCCTTGGCGTTCAGATTTTTGGGGATGTAACATATTATTTTCTTCTTGGTCATAGACACACAACCATAATTAATGTTTAGAACTAGGGGCAGAGACTCGGTGATATCTTGGTATATTTCGTTATTTCTTTAAAGCGTTGCTTGACTGGTTCGTTTGTTGATGGTTAGGTGGTTGTTTAGCTTATGTATTTGTTTGTTGACAGAGTATCAGCATCGACCACCCGCACATGTAATCTGTATATATTTGCGTCCATTTTCCACTGTACACATTAATGTATAGATTCGCTCTTCAGTTTACTTCCGTAAACATGTAGATTCATGTTTTTAGTATACACCCCAACTGTTTAGATCTTCTCGTCTGTATACCAATCAACGTGTAGATTCCTACCTGTATACCTGTTAACGTGTAGATCCCTTCTAGTATGCATATCAACGTGTAGATTTTCTCCAGGATACAGCTAAACGTGTAGACTCCCTCGAGTATACCTATCAACGTTTAGATTCATTCCAGTATACATATGAACGTGTAGATTGCCTCCACTATACCTATAAACGTGTAGATTCCTCCCTACCCACACCCTCCCTACGTACCGCTGAAAGTGCAGATTCGCTCTAGTATACCCCACAGTGTGTAAACTCTATCCTTTGGTACACACCTGAATAAGAAACCAATAATTGTTTCCCCTGAAGCAAAAAAAAAAAAAAAAAAAAACGTATAGTGCCTATTGTTTTAGTTTAAGTATTCTTTTTTGGGTATGGATATATATATATATATATATATATATATATATATATATATATATATATATATATATATATATATATATATATATATTGTTGCACACATACAACAAGCTGATGAAATCAGAAAGGCTACTCGGTCTTATAATTCGTATTCGTAACACGAAAGCCGTATACGCCACCTACCGAAAACAGCGGTAATAAATAGATCCGCAGATCGTATATATCTACAACAGAGCGTTGTGTTTAAAGTCGATCTGTTTATGGCACAATATATGGGAAAAAAACTTGGCAAAAGTGAAGTAGAGGGCCTATTTCCACTACTTCATGCGTTTTGGGCATATAGGGCTAGACCTATATTTGATAGACCAATCGGTACTCAGTGGGTGATATGGTCAACATCATCCCGGCTGCCTTTAGCTTCCATGTGGTACCTTCTACCCACTCAAGGCTAAACAAGGAGAAACAAAGGGGGGAAGGACATACCCAACCCTAAATTTGTTTGTAAAAAGAGGGACAGTCAAATACCAGCTCATACTGCAAAGTAACAACCAGTAATTCACTTTATCGGCATACACCTAAAACCAAACCATTTTACTACACCACTACCGGTGCGCGAATGCACGGCTCTAGATGGTGTGAATGAGAAAGACAATGCTGACAAGTCTGAGTACAGTGCCCTCGACATCATCGTGTTCTGCTATTATGCAGATTACTAAACGGATGAACAGTATTTCAAACACCTTAAACAACACTAAATCACAATGAACTATCGCTACAGAAAACCAATTTAAACTGCCTATTTAAATTCAGGATGCTGCGTGGTCTCAAGTCATGGTGTCCGCCTCGGGTGCTAGAGGAGCCGGGTTCAATCTCCGGTGAGGGCTGGGATTGTTTTCACGTGGACTTAGACTTCTAGTAATTTCCTATAGTCTCTGGGTAGTGTGATAGGATGCCCGTGTGCATTGATTCGCACGTAAAACCTTCCTTGGCAATTGAAAATCGAAAACGACACTGCGCGGACACAATTTGGAGTTACAAATCTACCCAAAGAATGTCAGGATCTTCGCCTCATCACTGTGATGAGCTTTTTTGGACTCAGACTTGAGTTAGAAGAAGAACGGAGCCAAAACGGAGTCAAACCTCAAATGTAAATCAATACCCGTCAGCAGACTTACAAACATCTATTCACTAGAAGGCAGCTGCGTCGCTAACCCAAATCACGAAAATCCTGGCTGTTAAAATCTTTTGTTCCCAATCCTGATGAAATTTCTTTAAAACCCTTTGTTCAAGTGCTGCTGTTTTCTTAACGCAGCAAATTTATTTGATCTTTGCTTGATTAATAATTTTAATGCCCCTGAAAAAAAATATAGTAACTGACACAGGCAACAATGTATGGTGATTTTTTTGATAGCCTATCCGGCATACGATGGAGATGACGGCTGAGATGTAGTCAGCTATAACATGTGTGCACTTTGATGCTTTATAAATGCTTCCATGATGACTGATTGCTTTAAACCGGTATCATATATATATATATATCGCAAACAAGACAGAATGAAAACTAGATATGTGTACACATTTAAAGAAAACTTTTGTCAAGACATGACTATTAGAATGCTGCATGGCAATTTTAAACAAGTTACACCAAACGGATCCTGAATTACATATTTGTAAAGTTGGGCAGGACATTTAGTACGTACTCCAATGGTAACTGTTTGTATCATATTTGTAATCTGAAGGGGATGATCTGCTCACCTTTTGAGGCTTGTAAACTTGTGAATGATGAGTTCCAGATGTGCTGCCGGAGTTTAAAAAATATAACTGGATAACAGTTTGGTGTAAGCTGTTGAAATTTAGCAGCATTTTTTTTATAATAATATCATCATTGCAAGCATATATTTTTTTAGTTGTTGTTGTTGTTGTTGTAAACAGTAACTTGTCATTTTGGATTGTTTACCGTTCATGAGAGAAAGAAAAAACCCACAGAAAATAGACGTCGATTCAAAGCAAACACTCGGCATGCTTACAGTAACTTGAGTAAATTGAGTAAGGGAAACTTTTTTTAAAACCACTCAAAGAGCAGTATTAGGCTTTTGAACACAAAATCGCTAAGTAACACTAAACAGCTGTAAAAAACTGTGGTAAAGATAGTGACCAAGACTCATGACTAAGATAACATGAAATTTGGCGAAGAAAATGTCTAGAAACTGCAATTTTGTGTGAAGAACAAGCAACTAACTACAACCATGCCTCTAGGTCAACCTATTCTAAATGGTCAGTAGTGTCATGGAAAGTAATGGCGACCGCAATAATGTTGACAAATCACCCACAGACATGTCCAACGTAAAATGGTCATCTTCTTTACGTATAACCTATAAAGAACAAAAAGCTACAGTTTGAAGAATTATGTTGAAAATCTAGTCGCTTGTCAGTGGAACTGAGGGTTATGTACGCATTTTATAAATGACATTGACCTCTAGGTTTAACTGCCTAAACTGGTTATTAGGAATTGTTCCGAGAAGTAAAGACGGCCGGAATCATGTTAGCAACCTTAGCTTACGCGCCGGGCAATTTACATACATACTTATGTTCAATTCATGTACAGCCACCTCATCTTAAACTAATCCTCTGTTAAAAATAAATACCTAAGACCAGGAAATGTCTCCCACAAAGGTTTTCTAGACAGAATACAAATGAGGATTAGACACAATGCTTCTGCAATCGTGTGTCCCTCCTCAAGAAATGTCACGGTTGACACGAAAACAATAGACATCCATTGTCCTATAGAGGACGCCATTCAGAGCGTGATCCTCTTTGGCCCGGGAGCACAATATATTTGCTCTGTCTACGTGAGTGGGGGTAAGTACACGACATGTTTCTGCTCCTTTTTGACGTGTAAGTATATTTACCTCGTGAAGTCCAGACAGCTTCATTGTGTGCGCGTGGATGGTAGAACATTCTTTGTTCACAGTAATAAGTTACGCCATTGTTTTCCAGTAGTGAATTTAAATAATGCGGACACAAACAATACATTGCACAACTGACTGCCATACATATTTGCTTTCATCGCGTCAGGGGCGTTTTTGCAGAGATGCATCAGCAAGTAACGAAGCATAACAATAGAATCAAATTTCACTGAAACACAAATTATCTCCCTCGATACATCGTGTTCGTCGAGTCACTGGAAGTTCACAATAGTCATTTGACTGACCAGTATATTGTACAATTGACAGTGCATTCTTCTGTTTACATAAGATCGGGATGCTAATTTTTACTGTGAAGCTTCGACCAGTCTCGGCTCCAAGCGGGCCGAATGGAGTGCGACGGGAAAATCGGATTTTCTGAATACACGAGTACACACTCGTACTGGACACAGGAGACATGCTGATGACCTTCGTGAACCAATGCTGATAAAAGACACGAGATTGGATGAAATAACATGTCGAGTTGTATGTGGATTAGGCAAAGAAGGACGTATGAGAGGAAGAGCACGGGAGTATAATCAATGTGCTACGGGAACAGTTGGCTTGTTAGAGAAAAGGAAGTTAATGAACGACTCTTACTGAGAGAAAAAAATAATAGAAGGACGGAAAGGTAGTTGGAGCGAGGAGAGGAAGACAGTAGATAGTAAAGGAAGATTATAAGACATGATAGAATGAAGAGAATAAATGATGCACAGAGAGCGGAAGAAATAAAATGTATACATGCATTGCATACATTAATATTGTACTATTTTTAATGGGTAAACATTTTACAAATGCCTACCCCTTATGTATAGTATACAGTCCGTAGTTGAACACTCATATGTGTATATTTATCATCATCATCAGTTTCCACTTCTGTCGATTAGCGTTGTGATGATAAATAGATTGCGACCCATTTCTTGATGTGCATCATTAGCTATTGTCATTCTGTGTTGAGTGTGATGGCGGCGGCAAACAGTGAGCAGCGTCATCTATGTCTTCTATACCAGGGTTTGGTAATTTATGTTTCTGAATACGCGATGGCGATCCTGACTCTCAGCAAATAGCAGATGGAAAGGATGGACAGGATACAGAACGGTGCTATGAGCATTATAGTTGGGTGCACAAAGATTCAGCATGCAGGGCTTTGCGCTACCTTCTCAATTTTTCAACCATGGAAGACAGAATACAAATTTCCCGAGCTCGTGCCTACATCAGAGTCAAGGCGGACACACAACATCCATTACATAGTCAAATCAAGAAGATAAAAGTAATTAGGTTAAAAAGAGGCAAATAATGGATGGGTCAAGCCGAGGACATTATTTTGCAAATATGTTCACTTGCGAGGAATGTGTGCAAGTGCTTTTAGAGTGCTCTACGTCTTTTTCTTTTTCATCCATCTAGACAGAAAATGCAGACAACAGAGTCTAGCTGTTGTAGAAAAAGAAGTTCAAACCTTGATTTTCGAGAACGCTCTGGAGGGTGATGCTGTCATTTACACAGATGGTTCTGTTTTCCGCTACGTTAGAAGCTCGTGGGCTTTCACAGCTCAGTTTAGAGGAAGCGTTGTGAAAGAAGATACTGGGGCTTTTGCCGTAACTAGAAGTATTCTGACTATGGAGGTGATGGCTGTGACTAAAGCAGTATCATGGCTAGAGTCACATACTTTCACTGAGGCATGCTTTCTCAGTGACTCGATGAGTTCGCTCGGGAGAATAGAGAAGGGCTGGGTCCGAAGGCAGTTGTTAGCAGCTATACAGAATTCACGGCCGACAAGGATTAGTTTCATTTTCTTGCTAGGGCATGTGGGGGTACAAGGAAATGAGCAAAATGATACGCATGCAGGTAAGGCTACTGTGAAAGCCGTGAAAACCATGGACCAGGCTGATATACTGAATGCTCTAAGAGAGTTAAGACATTTGCGTGAACCAACTGAGAACTGTGAATCTGCAACCATGTTCAGACTGCAAGAACAACATGTTAAACGGGGTGTCGCCAAACAAGAACACTACGCGAGTAGTCAAAGAAGTATAATAAACCAACACAGAACTAATGTCGTTAGCCGCTACATGCTGCGGGATTTACTGAGGAGGGAATCCGAGCACTTATGAACTGAGTGGTTCGACCTGCAATGAGGATGATCTTTCGACTAACTATACATACATATATATATATATATATATATATATATATATATATATATTGAGCACTACGAAGAAAATACTACTTGTGTGTTTGTGTGTGTGTGTGTATATATATATATATATATATATATATATACATATATAATTATATTTAATAGATGTGTGAGTGTGTGTGTGTGTCTCTCTATATACATACTCTCTTTGCATATATAATATACATGCAAAACAGTATTTATACAGTTAAAATATCACATTGAAAACAAATTAATATTTTACAGTGTATTTGTTACTTACTGGCCAGGTCGTAATGTGGCTCTCAAGCAGAAAGCAGAACAGTCAAGCACACACACAGAGGTTTCGACGTTGACCGGGTTCCAGAACTGGTCCTTTCCTGCTGAGCTAGCTGTAGATGGCAATCGGGACCAGTCTTTCTACACAGGCAGAAGTTGTGCGCAAACAGCACGCACACACCCCCCATTAGGCGTCGTGTGTGTCATACTATCCAGACCTTTCTTGATTAGCCAGGTCATCATATACAATAGACAGAATGGTATGTATTTATTTTTCAGTGTTCCTATCTGGTTGTTAAAGTTTATGAATAAATGATTCATGATTTGTGAGGAATATCATCGCAGCCCTCCGGACAGATCCGTGGGTGCTCCGATTTACTCTTTAAAATCTTCAGAAGAGAAAAACAACAGATCACACGCGTTACGTGTTGGTTAACCAATCGGCTTGTATCCTTGGTGAAATATATATAGCAGAATACTTCCAGGTCGCACTCCCACGTTCACCAACCTAGACATGGGTACTGAGTTATGTTTGTTGTCGTGATCCTCTCTACGGTATGCAGCTTGCGTGGCATCATTCCTGTACAGTGCCGGGCACCTTCTGGTAACCACCTTGTCTGCCAGATAATCTGCCTGGTCATTGGCTTTAACATCTGCATAATGGGAACAGTCAGGCGAGTTATTTGTGATGCATGTCATGAGAGAGTATATTATTGTGTGATAAAGTCGGCCTGGATTTTCTTGAACATATTCAGTGAATAGCCCTGGCAATGCCGTTGTAGCAGCCCCTGTCTCCATTGTAATGGATACACAATAGTAAGGTTATCTCTGATTTTGAATCGTGTGTATGACTCAAACAAACATTAGCAAACACTCAGACAAGATGGATTTAATTAAAACTGTTTTTATTCATCCAAATAAATATGAAGTAATTGATCTCACTGACAATGAACATCATTGTGCACCACTGAAGGATCCACAGCAACTGCCAAGGCCAACATAACCTTTTTGATGGATATTGCGACAGGCACTAAAGCAATTCCGAAGACAAAATAGAGGATCTCTGTCGCTTTGAGAACCCCACTAAGTGGTTCTTTTACCTACATCCCGATTATCACACAGAAATGCACGGGGGAAAAAAACCACATGATAAAGAAATAACTGTCAAAGGAGAAGACATTACTGTCCTCATCGAACATATTAATAAACAAAAAGGCAACGACTAACACTCAGTTGGCTTCCTAACAAAATAGACCCCAAAGGGGGTCAAAGAGGTTGTGTCAACTGCAGCAGGAGACAATAACCTAGTCTTTTATAATAAGAATTATTGAAGGAAAATGGGGACCTATATGCAGACCAGGAGAGAATATTCCTCAATACTTGTACGTGTTACCACCTGGCTTTACAGGACGCAACGAAAAAAATCTGTGTCACTGTTTATGCTTTTGAATGGATATGACCACTGGTCAAACAAGTGCTCAGTCAAACGAACACCTCAAACACCAAGACCAGCCAAGACAACAGAGGTATTCCCAACTCCACAAGAAGGCAAACCAAAGACATCATAATCAGTCTAGAACATAGACGTTCTTCCAACCCCAAGTTAACACCCAAAACCATGTCGACCAACAGAAACAAAAACATCATATTTACAGGGAGTCGTGTTGGCGCGATGGCTTGACGTGCTCTACCGCCTTGAAGTCTTGTTTGAATCCGCATCGTACCGGATGGTTGTAAAATGACCTTGGCTTCCAGGGCCACTCATTCCAACATGGGTACCTGGTAAAATCCTGGAAAGTTAAGGCGGTTGGCATGGTGTTGATGACATTATTAATCTACTTCCGATGGGTCTACAAAAAATTAGCCTTGCATCGTTTGCCCGATAACTCACTGGCCTGCAAAGGTATTTCTTTCTAACGTGCACTCCTTGTAGGTAGGGTTGTTCGTCCACTTTTGGACATGATCGAATTCTAGGACATGATTGTGTGTGTGTGTGTGTGTGTGTGTTTATGTGACATTCATTCTACATATGTGACTTTTTAAAGGCAGACTTCAAAGGAAAAGGGCCCTTTACCTGCTTGGTCTTTTGCATGTTCATTCACTTTCGGAACCGAAACTCTCCAGTCGGCTGCTAGAAATGAGTAGTGCTGTCGTGTTGATTCTTTCCCGAATTCCGATTCCGACTCCTTTTGAGAAAAAAGTAAAAGTTCGACTACTTTCAGACTGCTGCTAGAAAGCAGAGGCTACTAACATCTCTGTCTATACTTGTGGTCTAGGTTATTTGCGTCACTTTCGTGACTAAACTTTTAGTATTTGCACCGTCTCTGGGCTTGATGATTTCTTCCTTTAAGTCAGACCGCTCGTTCTCTCCCTGTTGTTAACTGTGTACTTCTTGCGTTTTCCTTCCAGGTGTTTCCTTCTTTGTTTTAGCTCTCTGTGATTTGGCCAGGCGTATTTCGAAGGAAATCGAGCTTCTATGCATAACCTCCTTTGGACTACCATTTATAGTTTTAAAATTTTGGAGTATTTTACTTTGCTAAAAAGTACTGAAAACAGTTTTTGTTTTTGGATAGATCCGAAATGTGAAAGTATTCAGCGTGTGACCATTGTGGTCTTATGGTTGTCTTCCTGCGAAAAGTAGGTGTTAGTCATGTCGTGTGAAATTTTAGGTGGAACCTCACAGTTATTCTATTCGTCATTTGTGTGATCCGGTTGTGTCTGTTTGGGTTGGTAGCTTGGCTCTTTACTGAACTAAGCATACTATTTATATACTAAACCATGTCTCTACACAGGGTTTGCGTCAAATCTGCTGGGATTTCTTCTTGAAAGTTTTAACGAAGCAGGACACGTGATTCACTCCCACAAGAACAACCTGCCCATCCCTCTTAGCTTGTACAAGGTTCTCATCCCTACTCTTTTTGTTGCACGGGTCAGGATATACGCATTCAGTCGTGACAACGTGTTGAATATCTGTGAACTGGAGATTTATGGAGGTAATATGTTGCAATATGTCACAGTAAGTTAGTGGCTGATTCCATTTCCCTTTTTAAACGGTCCTTTTATGAGAGAGGGAGATATCTGCAAAAGTACATATGTTTCTTTCTTCTTCCTCTGCCTTATATCCCCCCAAAAAAACATGCACCCTCAACTAACTCACACCAAATCGTTCTATCCTTCAATACCGCACGCATCTCTCCCTATATATTCCCCATCTTTTTAACTTCACTCTCTAGCTCTCTTCTCAATGTGTTCTTTAGTATTCCCCTATCTCTATGACCCTGTGGGTTCCAGTGCAAAACAATTCTTGCTATATTATTCTATGGTTTTCTCAATGTGTAGCCTATCCACCGCGAGTGTCTTTTCTTCACCTCTGCTTCACTGTTTAATTGTCTCCTAAAGCGCTCTGCTAGTGATATTACATACTATTTCATTCCCACTATTCTGTGCAGGCACTAATTTATGACTGTTTTATAGTTTATTAGTAATAGCCCTGGGTGTTCTCCGTGTTTCTACTGCACATAACATTACTGATTTGACATTAAAATTAAAATGTAAACTTTAGTATAAGTTTTTATTTCTTTTGACTTCCACAAATTCTGTATTGATATAACATTCCTGGCCTTGTGTATTCCTATTTTATTTTATTATGGTGACCATAATATATCGAGATGACAGGCCATCCCACTAATAATTTGATATTAAAACAGGACATCCCAAATTATTTTTGAGATCAAAATGGGACATCACTCGAATATTTTGAGAAGAAAACGGGGCATCTCTATATATCTTGATATGAAAACGGGACCTACCCCATATCGTGAGATGAAAACGGGACATTCCCCTTATATCTTGAGATGAAAACAGGACATCCCCCTTTTAACTTGAGATAAAAAAGAAAAATTAACCTCTGCCCCTCTTTTTTTTTTTTTTAAACGTATCTAGAAACCCTTTGGCTCGGTACTATGGATATCGCAACCATTCGGCATTGATTCCATTATAGGTACCGTTAATCTGTGAGAAATGTGGCTTTTCTGCCTACCCCCGGGAGTGAACCCGGACCACAAGGAGTTCGTCACCCGGCCGCCGCGAAAGTCAGGTTTAACCAACTTCGCTAGAGAGCCGGGCAATAAGGACTACAGATATAACTAAATGAGTACCTTCTATTTTCGAGGGCGACGGTTTGAGTTCTAATGGAATACCAACGGACAGGCCGGGGCAAACTTTTAAAACATGGAAACGAGGCAATATCTTTTTGAAAAAAAACACAGGATGTATTGTCATCATAGGTATTGTAGTGCTCTGAGAGCCGCGTTAACGCAGTCGATAGGAGTCTCGCTTTCAAATCCAGCTGTGACTTGCTGCAGCCAAGGGCCAGTTTTCGAAACCGGGCGGATTCCGGGGTTCACCCAGCCTCTGGGGTAAATTGTGGAACGTCGCTGTAGCTAAAGAGTTGAGTGCGGACTGTGACACAGGCAGACAGTTTTTTTTTTTTTTTTTTTCAGCTTTACGTACTGTTGGCAGAGCACTTATGGTTTATAACCGTGTGCAATGACGCTGGTTCACATTTCCCGACTTTCCCTTTACCTTTTTTTTATAGAGCAAAACTTAACTTATCGGAGACAACTTCATACAAATCTATGCTCAGATACAAAACTGACTATATAGGTCGATAGCTAACACCACCCCCGCGCCACGCCTCCACCTCCACCCCAGACATTTTTCAAGAGATCTGACTGACGTTTCGAAGTCGACGATCACTGCTAGTTGCATTACACTTTGCTACCATTACCCACATAAATTAACTCAGGCCCCACCCCACCCTTTTTTTTTTTTTTTTCCCCTCCTCACCCCTTTTCCCCGTGTTTATTGCCCTGCTGACAGAATTATTCATATTATTGATATTATAATTATTATTGTTATTTTAATTCTTAAGCAAAAAGAAAGAAAAAAATGCTTATGAAAAAGGAAGATGGATACCAAGAGAGATGGTAATGGACAATTTCACACAAATATTATTTGTCAGAAATGATTGAACGTACACGAGACAGACGGGTGGGGATAATTATGATTACCAACAGCACACAACATGGACTACAAGAAGGAAAAGAAAGGCTTTAGCATCTTCAACGTTAATCTTCGTTGCCGCCCGCAAAGGACCCGGTATGGGTAGCCGCGACGGGTGCTCATCTTAATTTGGCTGTTTGTTTTGTCGTTGAACAGGGTATCCGGGATGTTCCCTGTTGGTTTGCGGTCCAGAATGGTATTTTTTAATCTTAGGATGGTATGGGTAGCCGTGTTAGTAGCAGCCACAGAGTGAACACACTGATCGATCAATCGATTAGGTATCCTGAGCACCCCACCCCCCACACCGTTTGTTTTTCAAAGATAATGTATATGTAAGCTGAGAGGCCACCACCCCCAGGAATAGGTTTAGGTTTGGGTTTAAACTACGGATCAACATCATTGCACAAGGGTAGTAACCCATAAGTGCTGCGTTCTACTTCTAACTCAAGTCTAAGTCCGAAGTGTGTCCGCACTGTGCACGAACTCCGTAGCACTGACGAGGATCCTGAAATACTTTAAACTAAAAATTTTGCCCGGGCCGCGCCGTTAGGCTACTCTTTTCGATTTCCAACTCCCATGGGATTTTGTTTTATTACGTGCGCAAAAATACACACGTGCGTCTGATCTTTCTACCCAGAGACCAGGGATTAGTAGAAGTCCACGTGAAAACATTTCCAGTTTTCACCGAGGCTTGTACCCGGGACCTATAGCACTCGAGACGGACGAAATGCCTCGAAACCATGCAGCTACCACTCCCAAGAATATTTGTACCAGGGTTGAGGGCCACTACTGTCATTTCTCCGTCATCACGCCTATCTTAAGGTGAGGTCAGGAAAAATATGTCCTTTTTCCACTCTTTAGGATATTAGGCATATGGGGCTGGACCTTTTTTTATAGACCATCACGCCGGCCGCATTTACTTCTCCCAGGACTGCACCTGGTACCCATTCAAGGCTGGGTGGACCTGGGCGTCAAGGTCATTGATGAAAAAGTACCTCTTCCATCAGGACGCGAACCGAAGATGTTGGTGAAGTAGTCACAGGGAAGGTCAAGTAGGACATTAAAAATCATAAAACTGCCAGACATTCTTTGAATGTAAGATCTTTGATATCGATGATTGCAGATTCTATATGTGAAATCGGATCCTACGGGAAAGAGTGTGAGAAAGTGTGCAATTGCTTTGACGACGAGACCTGCTTTGTGGGCACTGGTGGATGCGCTTCGGGGTGTGCAGTTGGCTACTGGGGCGAAGATTGTAGCAAAAGTAAGACTGGCCTGCTGTTATCAATGTCGAGTCGTTGGACTGTCTGTTGTTGTTATTCGGTAAATAAAATCAAACTTGTAAAGATTAAATTTTTTCTTAAAATCTGTTAAGAGACTTATTCTATTACCAAAGGGGTAATGAGAATGTAATCCTTTATACCGTGTTTTCCCGGTGTGTTCGCTTAGTTGGTTAAACTAGCTGCACGGCAACCGAGGGACAAAGTTCTTGTGGTCCGAGTTCACGCTCGGGTGGTAGGCAGAAAAGTCACATATTTTCAACATTTACGGTATCTATCATGGAATCAAGGCCAAAGGTTGCGATATCCATAGTATCGAGGCCAAAGGGTTTACAACTCATGGTTTCTGAAACATGTTTCAATGCACTTCTTGTTTCATGGTTTTGTCCGAGTAACGCAAATGTGCTTTGAGTATTTAAAACATAGGTTTCAATATTTGTGCCTCTCAGCCGATACATCCGACTTCTTCGGCCATTATTTTTTTTTATATCGAGGCAAACCTGTCTGGTTATTTTCATCTGACATCACAGAACATTAGTAGCCTCGTTTGTGTGTTGACTTTGTCATCCCCTAATCCGCAGTTGTTGTCCCTAAAGGACCCTTTAGGTAAAACTGCGTGCAGGTTGTTGGTTCATCCTCAAGGGAGGGCAGAGGAATTGTCTGCTATTCCTGAAGGCTCCGACAGTTGTAGAGCCGATTCGATGATGCTTCGGTATTGGGATCTGCTAAGAAATCGTGACGTCCTGCACATGACTGCTTAACCTCTCATCCGTTTATTGTGCCTTTCAATCATTAATGGTTGTCATGTAAAAATATAACGGGAAAAAAAAAGACGATTTATAGGTACATATAGGTTAGTTGCGTATCCTTTACAGGACGTTGCAGAACCAACCCCAACAGCCCCTGGCTGTTGTGTGGTTTTTCTCCCTGCGTTCTGTGATATAATATTTGATTGTAAAGTCTGCCTTTGACAGCAACTGCCGTAACTGAAGACAAGTGATATATTCTTCTTTTTCTTCTTCTTCTTCTTCTTCTTCTTCTTCTTCTTCTTCTTCTTCTTCTTCTTCTTCTTCTTCTTTGCTATCGGTTTCGTATGCTCAGGGCAGATCGTCAGATGGGTTAACTCTCTGATGTTGCATGTCAGTAGCTGGTCCTTCTTAGTTCCTCATAGCTTGCTCTGCACACTTTGCGCTTGAGGCTAGGTGTCTTTTCGAAGTTGTATATAGAGTAGGCAGGTCAGAAGAATGAGCTCCGGTGTTGTTGTTGTTTTTTTTAAATGCATATGGCAGTATAGCCTGCAGTGTCCGCTCCTCTCCACAATTCCTTGTATTTTCCCTGATAGGTGTTTTGGTCGGCTCTGTGGCTAAGTCGGTGCGAACGCTTCGAAATGCCGGGATGCCATGTTCGATCCCAACTGCGGGCCATGCGGCTTGCGTTGGTTTGACAGTGGTACCAAGAAAGCCGACCGTGCCGTGCAGAAAAACAATGGCAAACTACTGGAAGTAAATTTGCAACGTCCTGTAAAAAAGGTGTTTTTGATTTTCGGTAATGACAATGGATAGCTGTGTTGTTTCTCCTTTCTTCCTTTTTTTTTTGCAAGTCTTTCTGCTAAATATTTTCCTGGTATGCAGCAGTGAGGCAGGATCCGCTGGAGAACGATTTGATTGTTCTCTGAGAGTCTGTTTAGCTGGTGGGTCAGTTCTCTCTTTATGTTGTCTCGTGGTTCTCTCCAAGTCGTCTAGAGGACTGACGTGCAGTCACAAAGGAAAACACGTTTGTTGTTTTTAATTTTCCTTTCTCGGGTACATTAGCTGCATCAATAATTGCTTGCTGCTCTGTTCTGGTTTGTTGAGAGTTTTCCTGAGTCGCATGACGTTTCTACTGTGGTTCCATCTTGCAGCAGGATGACCGATCTAACTCCTCCGTTTGTTCGATGTATGCGTGTGCCCAATCGGGTGTTGGATAGGAGCCACAGACATGTTTAAGGGTTTTTGCATGCAGTACTAGGTCACATTCTTTCAGACTTTCAGACTATGCCTGGTATTGTTGTTGTGACTGTATAGTTATGCTGTAAGTCTATGTAGATCATTTCCCACGTTGAGGGGTCTTTAGAAAGGATGTGTTTTTTTTTTTCGAAGTGAAGCTTTGTTATTTTTTTCTAATTTTTTTTTTTTGGGTTGATAGTTTATTAATTTGTTAAGTTGTTTACTAATCTCTGCATGGGGGTGTTGTTTATGCTTTTAAATTTTGCAGTTAGAGTTGCACCTTTTCTTCCCTTCAAAGGCTCAAGCTCTGGGGGTCAGAAGTTGCCTACAGCTCATTGATTTATGCGCTAATCTCATAGCTTCAGTGATGATTCTGAGACCAGTGTTCTGTATTGTGTCCAGTTTGTGTAGGTTGCATTGGGCCGCACGTACCTGTGATATTACTCTCCAGTTATACATTTTATCTAGCTGCACTGTAACAATAAGGGGGCAGCGTTTGCAAACGCCTGCTGCATGAATGAATGACGGCAGAAGAGTTTATTGACAAGCAAAACTAAGGCCGTTTTGCACACACACACACTCACACAAAACAAACGCACACCACCCCCCCCCCTCACCCTTACTCACACCGTCACTCACACACACCCACGCGCACACGCACTCACACACACAAACATATACAACACCCACACCACCGACACACTCACACACGCTCACTCACACTCGCACGCACTTCCATGCCAATAATACCCACCGACCTACACATACATACATACACGTTCATAAAACAGATGCAATGTAATCAAATGACAGTTTTCACACAGAGCCTAGTCCAGCAGACTATTTGATTACGTTGCATCTGGTGATGTTTCCTTACACACTGACATACGCTCACTCACACTCGCACGCACACCCACGCCTGCATACGTACCCACACACCCACCCACACACACACATCCACACACACACACACACACACGCCAATACATACACACTCAAAAACCTAATGCAGTCTAATAAAATGACAGTTTTCACACAGTGCCAGGTTCGGCACACTATTTTATTGCATTGCATCCGGTGCAGTCTTCTTTCACAGAAAATCCCGGCGTCATTGGAGTCGTGGGAGCACTGTGGCTAACCTACCTATTTGCCAGCTTCGAGGTTTTATTGACAAGAAAATAAAAACTTACTATTATGGGCTTTTCGTCTGATTTCGCCTAAACGTTAGAGTTAAATGGTTTGAAAGAAACAGACACTTTACAGTGAATCAAGAGGTGAACATAAGACGCTGACGTTGGATAGGATATGTGTTGAGAAAACCAGAGAGCAATATAACAGAACAGGGGCATACAAACAAGGGAGACCAAGAAACACACAAAGAAGGGAGCTAGAAAGCGCAGTTGAAAAGGATAGGGAAGACATAGGGTAAGCTGCATGCAATTGCAACGGATGTGATGTCTTGGCGGTGGTAGATTGATGAAATACCTTCACACGGAGACAAAAAGAAGAAAAGGAAAAGAAGGAGTAGCACAGAAAAATATTCTGGAAAATAAAGGCGATCGGGGTGATGACGATTTCAATACTCATCGAATGTCAATTGGTCTATAGAAGTATGGGTTGGTGAATGAGTTTAACAATGTCACGAACCCGGGTACTAAAAGTCGATCTCCGGGCGAACGTTGATTTGAAAAACCATTCTCGTGGCTATCGAGCAATGAAACAGGAGTTTCTTTCTCCGGGCAAACGTTGATTTGAAAAACCATTCTCGTGGCTATCGAGTAATGAAACAGGAGTTTCCTTCTCCGGGCGAACGTTGATTTGAAAAACCATTCTCGTGGCTATCGAGCAATGAAACAGGAGTTGCACCTTGAAAGAGAGTGGTGTTTTCCCTACGTTATACTCCCAACGTTACCAGTGGAATTCAATACAGCCAACCTTCATTAAAGAAAATGCAGACAATATTAGCACCATATATCCAGTAGGTCCCTGGAGGTACAGGCGACTCACTGACAGTTGTTATTTCCTCTCTTTTTCTGGGTGC